TTTTTATGACAGTTGCTTCTGCAGAATGAAACTTTTAAAATTAAAATTAATAAAATCTTATTTAAGATTGACTATGTCATAAAAAAGATTAATTAAATTAGTAATATTATCTATTGAAAAAGATATAGTAGCAAAACTTGAATATAAAAATTTAATTAACATACTTTTGTAACTCAAAAAGTAAGAAAAATTAATTTTAAATAAAAAAATAATAATAAACATAAAAAAGCTTCATTTAAAAATACCGCTTTAAGCCTCCAAATTATCTTAAACCACCCTGATTGGATAAAGAATCTCCAAAAGCTTACACTTTACTAAGAAATTTCCAAACATCTAATCCAACGATGTGTGAGTTGTATGGGGTTACCACAATTCTCCGATTAGGACTACAAGTATTCGTGTAGGACCTATGAAACTTTGGGTAACGTGGATATCAAAGCATTGCTAGTGTGGACTTATCCAATCCTAAGTGAGGTGGGTTTTTAGGGAATGGGTCTCACCATGTTAGTTCAGGTCATCCAAGTTATAAAGTTTATACTTGTCCAACACTTCATACACAATTCACCAACCACAGTAGACGTTTAAATTAAAATGATCAAGTGACGTTGACGTTGATCTATTTAAATTAAGTAGATTATCGCACTTTTAAAATGCAACAAAAAGTAATAATAGAGAAAAAATAAGTTAGACTTAAAATTCAACGGGACTAATATTGTTTAATCCAGATCGAGACAATGATCAAAACGCTGCAATGAACTCCTTCAATTTGAGCGGAATTCTATCGTTTAGACTATCACCATCCCATTTTTGTTGTTTTAGAAAAGAATTCAAAAATTAATAATAAATTATAAGAGATTTTGAATTTAGTATCGTCAATTTTGTTATATTTCATATGACACGTGTTTTTATATTAATTAGTTAGATTATAATTTTTTTATTTTGGTAAATTTCGTATAATTAAAGATTTTGTTTCCTTATTGGGACGGTTAGAGTTTTGGTCGTGCTTATTTCCCTATATAATATGAATTATTCGGTCAATAATATAAATTTTCAAAAGAGTAAATTGCACTTTACCCCCTAAACCATCATCTTTTTTTCACTTTGCTCTCTCAACTATCAAATTTTTTATATTGCACCCTCAACTATGAGTTTGTTCATGATCTCCTCGTTACTGTTGCATCTGATGTGGGACTCCACCCTAATCAATATCTAAGACTATGGATATGTGTTTGGATGTTAATGTAAATGTAAAGCAGCATTTCTTACTTGAAGAATTGTGTAGGTGTTGCAGCCATCACTGTACTGGCCCCATCATGCAACTGTTGGTAATAGTCTTCACCTTTCATTGAGAGCTTTACTTTCCTTTTGTTCACAGCTGCAACTACAACACGAACCAAACCCATGAGTGGGCTCCCTTGTGGCCTAACATATCGATAAAAACGACTCCCAAACAAGAAAATGGCTAATCCCAGTACATTGACTGCAACACAAATCCCGAACCCCGACGCCCAGCTCACATTGTCTTGAACGTAGACGATGGCCGTGGAGCTTATGACAGAGGGTATGTACAGGGCAACAAGATACCAGTTGAAGAAAATGCCTCGGTGCTTTGGCTTATCGAATTGATCTGCTCCCATTGTTGCTAGTGTGAAGCGTGTACCCCCCACTCCTAAAGCTGACAGAACTAGACCAGATAGAGGATTATTAATTGGATTTTTGATGGGTCTGAGCACAAGTATGATCCATTTCCACATTTGGAAGGCCTCAAAGGTTCAAGTCCTGCAGTTAGGACTAAGAGTACCATACCCTGCAAGCACATGAAAAATTAATTTCGAGTCAAATATTTTCTTTTTAATCATGCAAATGAGAAAAGAAACCAAATTCATCATAAAATCACGATAACCAAAGCGCGAAATTGAAATGGTACATTAAAACGTTGTTTCATCTCATTAAATTTCCTCGTAAGAGTTGGATTCTTGAAGCAAAAATATTTAGTTAATTTTTTGGGTTTTCGCACTTTGCACCCTGAAAGATTTTAAGATTCTCACTATACACTTTTAAGATTAAATTTTTTCACATTGTGCCTTCAATGTATCAAAAATGTTGCAATTTTGGCATTTAATTAGCTTCCGTTATTTTTTTCGTCAAAAGACAACCATTGATACTTGCGAAAAAACTAATAGAAAAATAATAAAAGGGTCACATTGCAACACTTTTGATGTATTGAAAATGCAATTTGAAAAATTATTCTTTGAGCGTATAAAGTGAAAATCTTAAAAATTTTAGGGTATAAAGTGCAATTCATCATTTTTTTTTTTTTAGCCTTTGGACTTCAATTACATTTTTCCTATTTTAAGTACTCTTTTGGGTAGCTTATATTTTGCATTTTCGATTTTATATTTTCCTGGGTTAGCTCAATTTCTTTCAAATTTAATTGCAAATCTAATAATTGATATATTTACAAGTACAAGTACATGTTTACAATCTAAGATACATATGGTTTACTATAGAAATTGACATATTTTTCCTTTGAAATTAATTTCAAATTACTTGATAATGTTGACGAGTTCAAATTTAAACCAATTGTGGTACAGTTCATGAGTTAAGCCCTAACTATTGAAAGGCAGGCCAGAATTAGATCATACTCTCAATCCAATTCAAAGCCTAAGAGTTCAGAAAAAGTCAAACGCATGTGGAAGAACAATCAACAGGATAATCATGACTCCAAGAGGGTGTTTTATCCCCAATTGTAGCTAGTCTCCCTAATAAACTAGTACCTTAATACTTACGTCACTGCCTCAACTAGAGTTCTGTGCCTATAAATTATAAGACTCCTACGCATGAGAGTACATGAGTATAAAATCTCATACACTACATCTTGAGCATACAATGTCCCCTCTCTCTCCCCAACTACCTTTTGCTCTATCATTAGTACAATTTTTTTGACTACGGTCATGGTCGATCGTTTTCAATGGTTAGGTCACCTAGACTCAATCAATTAATATTTATCTCTTATTATTATTTATTTTATTAATTACTTTACAACAGATACTCGAATCATTAATTATACATGAATTTACTTTTATGCACCGTCCATTGTCATTATTAAATCTTGCTTTCTATCTATGAAGCTGTCTTGAAACTGCCATCAAGCGAAAAAGACTAAAGACCACTTTAATCATTGGCGGACAAAGTGTGTGTGTGTGTGTGTGAGAGAGAGAGACTATTATTACCAGTAAAGAGATAAGGGATGAGATCCATATGACGGAGAAACAGCCTAGATAGGAGTCGGCGATGATTGCTCCGATGATCGGAAAGATAGTGATGAAGCCATTAAAAATATTAAAAATTTTAGCAGCCTCGATGCTCTTCACATTGTATTCCCCTATCAGATACACAATAAGGTTCGAAACCCATCCTCCTGCTGCCAGAGACAAAGTCCCCATGGTTGCTGCTTTTCACAAAAAAGATCATGGCTGTTATATAGAATCATGGTATAGAACTATTTGAAAAAAAGAGTACAGTACTGAAAAATAATTTATAAGTCTTCGATTGATTCATTTATAACTACAAAACGACACCATGTTACACTGCTTTATTATAATTTTTTCCCAAAATAACAAATGTTATCGAAAAAGTAAATTTTCTGTGCTATAGTTGGACCCAATATTGTGTAGTTGTGCTTGTGTGTCTGTGTGTGTATGAGAGAGAGAGAGAGAGAGAGAGAGAGAGAGAGAGAGAGACTATGATGAACGGAAAAGTGATCCAACCGCCGGGCTTGCGGCCGGTAGTAGCTAGTTGTGCTGCTTCAGTTCTGGTGTCCATTATGCAATTAACTGGAAGTAGTGTGTTTAACACCGTGGTTGAACTATGGTAAGGGCGATATTTATAGATTGTTTTTATTTGATTTTTAGGTCTAAACATATTACTCTTTCTATACTCCATCAGTGACAGTGAGGCCCAATATATCTCACGCACACGTAGCCAATTATTTTTTAGATAAATTACACCGACACCTCTGTAGATTGGTTTAATTATAGAGACATCCCCTTGGTTTTTTGAAAAATCACTGGCACCCTCTATAGTTTATATATGCATTTCACTTACCACCCCTGTCGTTACAGACGTTAGGCAGTGTTAAAAACAAGATCTAACGCCATGTAATATTGTATGTAGAATGCCTATTTTACCCCTGAAGCGTTCAAATATTAGACCTACTTTAACCTTGTAATTGGAACATGTGTTTTTTTATTAATAAACCGTGTTTAAGTAAATTGCATGACATAATTGAAAATGTGTAGTACAATCAATACCAAAAGGAGAGTACTCACTACAAAAAATGCAATTCCAGAATATCAAAAACCCTAATTTCCTGCACAAGTTTGAACTTCTTAGATATAACTGTTAATATGCCATATACAACCCATAGTCTACTGCACACACAAAAAAAGACTGCAACAAAATAACATTCTTCCAAAAAGAAAACAGTATCTATCTTCACAGTATGCTTCTATGTTCACAGTATCTATCTTCACTGTCAAACTATGGCACCTAATTCAAAGAACCTGCTGCTCCTATTCCCTCACCTTGTACATTGGCTGAGCTTTCTTGTGATGCATGAACTGCACCTTTTCCTCTACCTCTACCTGTTTTTCTTGATGTCTGGAACAAAAAAATAAGTCTTCGACATTACAAACTTAATTTTTATGGGAATTTGATTTCCAAAAAATCCAATTTCTATACCTATACTATGACATTGCTTGTGCCTTGTTCTGATTATGTGCCCCCATCCTCATTCCCAGCATTTCCTCTGCCTTGTGATCCCCTTGTTGGTGCCCACTGACATATTTTCCTGTTGTGTCCAAATTCCCTACATATCACGCATCTCACTGCTAGGTTCCTCCTAGCTATATTTGTCCTAGTTGCTGCCTCATCAGGCTCTCTCCTCCTGTTTTTCTTTGGTCTGCCTGGAAGTCTTCTCAAAGGAGGAGGATCCAATGGATCACCAAGAGATGAGGGTCATTTTCTTATATCACAAATTGGGTTACTTTGAAGTTCACATGCCTTCAGAAATGCAGCCTTCTTCAAGTAGTCATCACAAAAATCCTCAAAGTTTAGTCTTTTATGTGAAATAGCTTGAATGGCATGCATCATCACTTTTGAAATCCATGTAGATGTTGCTTCAGTACAAACTGTATCCCTAACACATGTATGATCACCTCTCAATGTTGTCACCTTGTATGCACACCATCCTGAAGGGGGGATGCATGAATCCTCCAATTGCAACCACCATTTTCACAATGACATGTCACCCTTGTTTTCTTATTTTTGTCCCTAATTAATTTAAAACCTTCTTGCACTGCATAATCTCTAAGAATCTCTCAGAAGGGATGCACATCTCTAAACAAATGGCCAACTTCAAACTTGATAGTCCCACCATTTTCACAATGACATGAACACAAAAATGTAAAGTAACTCAGAAATAACAAATGTGTAATTAGAAATAATAAGAAATAACAAAATAACTGAGAGCTAGCATATATCAATTAATAGATCCAAACACAAATAATGTTCCAATTTACAAATTAGAGATGAAGGAGGTGATAAAATATTTTTATGGGATTCTTGGTGGAAAAGAGGTCCATGGTGAAGACTTTCACCTAGGAAGTATTGGGGATGGATTTAAGTAGGGGTGTTCACCCTACCCTACGAGTAGGAAATATGTTCTTTCGTTTTATAACCTGATACTTTGCAGAAGAGTTTTTTCTTGGCCTACCCTACCCGACAGGTGTGGTATTCCTACCCGATTAATCGGGTAGAAAGTAGGGTAGGGTAGGAAATCGGGGTAAAAATTTTTGTAACAATTAATTTTTAGATCATTTTAACAATTTAATTAAATAACATGCACCAATTTAACAACACAATAAATCAATTAACACTAAAATCTAAAACAACTACATCAAGAATTATAATAAAACATAAGAAAGTATGAACATCAATCTACCATAATTGTTACACAAATATAATAACAATTAATTTAAATTTAAACTTTAAATCATATGAAATAAATTAAAATTATAATTGCTTCGCCTGTGGTTAGGGTTTAGGATTTTTTTAGTTTATATATATATTAAAAAATTATTGCGGGTAGGGTATGATAGGAATGCGAAAATGGATGGTTATTCCGCATTCCACCCGAAAATTGTCGAAAGACTAAAAACTCTTTCATATTTCTACCCAATTTTTGCGGTTAACCGTTCAGTAGGGTAGTGTAAAATAGGGTAGAATAGAAACTTGTGGCCGATCAAAATTTTGAATAACCCTAGGTTTAAGGACATGAAAAGCATTGGAAAAAAAGAAAGTATTGTGGACCATAAAAGTAAGTGGAATTCTTATGCATCTGGAAGCAATTCTTACTTTTCTAGTTGCTGAAGAAGCCTTGGCGTCTTTGCTAGTGGTAGGGCCCATCAATTGTTGGTGGTTGAAAGATTATGAAGACTTTGTGTAATGTATGGATTCTTGGGTTGGAAACTTGGAATTACAGTAGGCATGCAAAGGGAAAGCATTTTCTAGACCCACTATATGAAGACAAAATAACATTATTATGTTTATGATGGAAAGGATGAACAAATTTGAAGAAAACAAGAAGTTTCACGGAAAACACAAAATAATCCAATTTGTAAAAGCCCTGATTTTAATGCTAATTTTTTTCACAGTAATTTTTTTTTTTTTACAATAAATTTCACACATGCCTTAATTTATATGTTGTAATCCAAAAACTATAATCAATATGAAACCATGACTAACCTCAACTACCAAATGTGACAAACAATGAAGAAAGGTTGTTCGACTTCCCTTGAATTTCTTCTTTGATAGCCTTCTCGTATTTTTTGTGGATTAGAGCTCAGTTGGAAGAGAAGAACGAAGAAAAAATAGGGTCATGTGGTTTCATTATCTGTCAAAAAGAAGCTCGATTAGAAAAGAGGAATAGGAGAATAGTTTACAACTATTCAGTTTTTCATAACTAGGGTTCCCACTTTATATAGGTGAGATTAAAAGAGGGTTTTGTTAAATCATGGTTTGATTAAATATAGTTTGGTAATATTATATTAACGGGTAGTTATGTAAAATTGTCATTTTCATTAACAACGTTCAACAAATTCTGGTAGGGGGTGTCAGTGATATTTAAAAAAATTGAGGGGGTGTCTCTATAATTAGACCAATCTATAAGGAGTGCCAATATAATTTACCCTTATTTTTTTGGGTCACCCTGCATTATTGAGAATTACGCTTATTTTTTTTGGTCACCATGCATTATTTAGAATTTGGATCAAAACAAAGGTAAATTATATTTTGTACCCTTAAAGATTTAAGAATTTTTATTTTATACTTTTAAAGATTAAATTTCTCACATTGCATATTCAATGTATTAAAATTATTACAATGTGACCCTACCGTTAACCTCCATTACTCTACGTTATAATAACTTTATTATATTTAGGATACAATATAAAAAAAATAAAATTTTCTCAATCTTTTGTAGTACAAAATGTGATTCCCCAAAAACAAACACACTTCCGACTGTTACATCTCACCAACTCCCCCAAAAAATAATATGACAAGATGTTATTCTTTTATGGATTCCATTTTATACCTGGGGTTTTGACCAGAAACAATCAGTCTATTTTGAGAGTGTATGTATATATATATATATATATATATATATAGTTGAAAGTAGTTGGTGTTTTGGCTTCTTCTAGGAAGCAAATAATATTTAATTAATTATCAGTTGTGTATCTTGATAATCGATCTTATGAATATTCTAGGGCATGTTTGTTTTCGGTTTTAGAGTGGTACAAGCACATGGGATGAATAAAAATAGTTTAGAATCTTTTTTATATCGGGTTTGTTATATTTTTATCGGTTCGCTTATAATATTTGAAATTAATATCGGCCTGGATGCTGCAGTATAAATAAACCCATTTAAGAGACATTATTCAATACCAACAGAGAGGTGGTGTTAAAGTGAAGTAGAAAACTAACGTGGTACTAGATTAGTAAATTACAGTATTAGTCATTCTGATGCCTAATGTTCAAATTCAAGACAAGGCATTAAAGTCAATTTCGATAAAATAAAATCTTTACTTTTGTTGTGGAGACTACAAAAAAAAAAAAGTTTACAATATTGGTCTTTCAAGTGTCTAATAATCTAAATCAGACGGATGGTATTTACGTCAATTATCAGATATAAGCATCACTTTTATGTGGAACTAACATGCATTACAAAAACTATAAGCTGCAAGTTTAAAAAAGACATTAAATTATATTTTCCATACCCATGGCGTTGGAGAGGATGGGAAATAGAACTCCAATCGCATCTATCTTTTTCCTTAAAACAAACATATCCCAAGAATAACCCAGCCCACTGAACAAGGTGATCTTCCAA